ATAGGAATAATATCTGGTTAGATTGGTTTAACAAACTCTACTTCTTTTGAACTGGTAATCGCTTTCATCTCAAAGTGTTCTAACTGTAATTTATTACAGTGGAATTGTAACAAAAAAAAAAAACATCACTGTTTCAAAAGCAAAAATATATTTTTTCCTGAGTTAGTTATTAAGTTGCACATTTTTTACTGCTTTCTCTACTTCTTTTTTTTTTTAGATGAAGTGACAGACAATAAAATTTTAAATTAGCAAATTTTTAAGTCAATCACGCCTACTTTCTCAATTTTCGCAGTTTACATTGCACCTACCACAAATGCATGAATTATCGCCTTTGCAATGCATAACTGTATCTTGCCTTCGCATGCTATGGTCGTCGCTTTCTTCTTTTTCTTGTCGGTTTTCTCCTACTTTTTTGCTAAGTATATAAATGCCTTGAACAATTTCTTTTTTTCCATAATTCAGTTTACGCCGACGAACAAGTTTAAGTTCGCTGAGCAGAGTTGAAAATGGCGATGAAGCAGCTGTTGGCAAAAGTGATGTTATATTGGAAATCCCACTTGAGGTTCTGCTTTTGGTGCAGTCGTTTTTTGCTGAATCCTTAAAACAAATCAACTAATTTTTCTTGCTTACTTTTCGTTACATTTAATGCAATAAAATTTACTTGCTTACTTCTTTCTCATTTGGAATTTTTTAGTAAGTATAATTTTAAAAATGTGAGTTATTTGAAGCTTTTTAGGTGGTAGTCATTGAGGTTCAAGGGTTGAAATCAGTACCCGGAAGTAGGATAGTGTATTGTACAATGGAGGTTGATAATTGTCCAAAGTTACAAACGGATCACGCAGAAGCCTCGAAACCTCAGTAAGCGTAACGTAAAATTGACTGTTTTGTTCTCCTAACCTCAAAATACACCTTTCTTTTAAGTGAAACTGCAAAAATAATTATTTAGGTGGGATACGCAAGGCGATTTTAAAACGAAGAATCCTTTACCTATTGTAAAAATTAAGCTTTATACTGAAGTAAAGAGTATTGTAGCATTTGAGGACAAAGAGTTAGGAAAGGTAAACGGTTGCTTTCTTTCTTTTTTGTAGAAATGTGATTTCTTAATAAAATTATATAGGCTGACAATTTTACACGCATAACTCTGTTTTTTTATTGTTGGTGAAATTTTAAGAAGTTTCCAACTGAGATCTACTTTAAGCGACTGTAATTGAAAATTCAGTTTTTTACTCAAGAACAAAAGATAAATATGCAAATATACATTCACATATCTTTTGCCTTAGGTGATAATAAGGCCAACACCAAATTGTTCAAAAGCACCAGAATGGTATAAAATGACAGTGCCGCGAAACAGTCCGGACCAAAATCTGAAGATTAGGATTGCCATCAGAGTGGAAAAACCAAACAGTTTGAAATGCTGCGGTTATTGTTATGCGTTGGGTAAGATCGCATGGAAAAGATGGAAAAAACGGTTTTTTTGTCTTGTACAGGTATCTGTCAGTTGTTTAAAAAAGTACTAGAAAAAACAAAATTATTCTGTCTTGTAAAAATTCTTTAGGGTTCAAAGTTGCCAGAAAACTATAATAAGTGTTTACACGAGCCTGAAAAGTAGTTTAGCCGAAGAATTGTTTTAGGTATCACAGTACACGTTTGCTGTCTGCAGTTACCGTGAAAAGAGGGCTGAACCAACTGAATATATTCAACTTGACGGTTTTACTGTTGATTATATGCCAGATCCTGATCCAGGTTTATCATTCATATTAGTGTTTCAGTTAATAAACGCTAATTTTAGCTAAACGACAACTGCATGTATAGAAGGTTTTCTTCTAAGTAGGAAATTAAATACTGTGTAATAGTATATGCATCGTCTAACCGGTTTTTTTACAGATCTTTATTGTCAAGGCGGAAAGTACTTTTTTTCTGCAATTAAAGAGGGTGACGAATTGAAATTTGCGACTGAAGACGAAAATGAACGTCATCTTTGGGTTCAAGTATGTTCAAAGCACAAATGCTTTCAATTTTTGGATGAACTTATTATCAAGTGTTTCTAGTAAAATTTGAATTTTCTAAGAACAAACTTAAAGTGTTTTTCAGTTTTATTTTTGTTCTACTTTTGTTTTTTTTAGGCTTTATATCGGGCCACAGGTCAGGCTTACAAGCCGGTTCCGCCAAAGCAGTCAACTATATTTCCCTCAAAAGCTCAAGGTTTTGCTGACAAAGCCAGCAAACATGGAATGGACGAAGTCATACAAGCCGATCCTATAGGTTTCTCCCATGACCACCTATTTACCGCTTTGCAGTCGAAGACATTGGATTTTCGATTAAGCGAACCCATCTGTTCCCTGGTACAAACTAGTGTTCTTACGAAAATCTTTCTAAATCTGTAGAATCCAGCAGTACTTTTAAAAATTAATTCAAAAAGTCAAAAATTGCCTGGAGAGATATATTTTACAAAATTTCTTTTTAATTTTGTACGACAGTTTTTAGTAACCGTCACTCTTCTAAATAATGATAAATTTTTCAGGGTTGGTTTTCACCTGGCCAGGTGTTTGTTTTAGACGAGTACTGTGCAAGATATATGGTTCGTGGTTGTCATCGGCATGTTTCATTGCTGAACGATTTGCTTAACCAGTCTGGAAAACACTTTATTGATCCAACATTGTTACATTATTCATTTGCATTCTGTGATTCACATGTTCAGGGAAATAGGTGAATTCCTAAATTTATACTTTGCTTCTTTTTTGAATTGAGTAATAGGAACAGCAGGGGCCATATTAAGAGTGCTTGTAAGGGAAAATTGGGATGTCAAGAAAAGTGCTGCGATTGTTTTAACATTCGAAAAACACTTTGCTTAGTGAATATATAGAATTTTATAAGTTTTACGGCCAAATTTTTTCCCAGTAATGACAGCTTTTGCTTTTAGTTATATTAACAGTTTGTCTTTGAAGTAACCTGTAAACTGAAAAACTTTGTCAAAATATCACTTTTTCAAATGGTTATGTTAAATTAAATTATTGCTTGATAGTAAGATTTCATAAACTTTTTTCTTTTCAAAAAAAATAATAGATGAATGAATTGGTTAAATGACTTTTATTATTAACTTACAAAAATCTTTTTATAGACCGGACGGTGTAGGTACAGTAACACATGAGGAAAAAGATCGTTTTCAACAAGTGAAACAGCGTCTAAGAGCACTTTTGGAAGATCAGATTACTAGTTTTCGGTAATTTTTGATTATTAAGTTATTCGCTACAGTAAAACGTCACAGACTGCTTTCGAGATTACTCACTATTATTCTGAAAAAGAAGGGAAGTGCGTCAAAAGCAGTATACTTGAATTTTTTAACGGAAGATGTTACTTTGTGAGTTGATGCTAAACAGTGTTGCAGCGACTGCTTTCCATTTGGTAGGCCAGAAGGTGCGTTAAAGGCTACGCTGTCTTTACTAGAACGAGTAAGTTGTTGCTCGTAAATTGATAATAGTTAGCATACATATTTCTGGTTTAAGAACCTTTACGAGAAGCAATGAGTCTTGTTTTGCAGTTGCTGATGAAGGATGTTGCTGCTCCAATGGATCCAACGGGTGTTAGAGCTGTGTTGGCCAAATGCCTTCGCAAGGCTGCTGATAAGAATTATGAAGCCTTATGTAATGAGGCGCAGATTGAGCGTGAGATTTACCGCAAAGGTTTCTTACATAAAATTATGCATGCAACTCTGCCGTGAACTGCATGCTATTAGTCATAACAATGTTGCTTCTTGAGTGATGTCGAACACCTAATTTCTTCTACCCGGTCGTATGTTCTTTTTTTTTCTCTCGCATGGTATTTTTCTTGACTTTAGATTAACTGTTGGAAGTAGGCTCGATAAGAGTTTTTTTTACGTTTCATATTTGAAGTAAATTGTGACGCGTCAGTAGCCCTGTTTAATTCTCGTTATTTCGTGTACGACAACACCGTTACAGCTCCTTAGACTGAACCGGTGATGTTGCAGGTTGAAGGCTGAAAAGTTTTTCCAGCTGTAGATATTTTATGTGATCTTACAGCATTTTTTTCTAGTTTAATTTAATTATCTGTCTAACTTAAAGAGGCGTCAAAAAATACATTTTACATAATTAGTTTTCTTTCCTAATAAATCTTCTTCTTGCGACTTCTGCTAAAGGACTCTAATTTTGCCAAAAAAAGCAGAAAAAAAACAATATATTTTTATTTATATATCTTTTTTTTTGTTTTAAAAAATTTTTTGGTCTTCGATATTGCCTTGCCTAGTTTAAAAGCGTACTTAACAATTTGAAAAATTATCAATAATTTAGTTTTTTTTTGTTTAAATGTCTGGCAGTTTGCACGAGAATTTGAACGTTAAAAAGTTTTTTTTTCAAATAGAGGCCAAAAAACGCATGAAATTTTTGACACTGCTTTAGCTAGTTGAATAAATTTAATTTTTTCAGAACGTGGGCCCAGCAATGTTAGTCCACAGCAACGGATTGAGGATATGCTTCGGTTGACGGAACTGTGTATCGATCTAATTAAGGAAAATGAGGAGCATCATGGCGAAGTTTGTCTTTTTCAAATATTCTATCTATCACACTTAAATTATATAAAAAGATATCTGATTGCTTAGAATTGTTTGCTTTCTTTTCTTTGCTCTTTTCATTAAGCTAAACTTGTCGATCTTTGGCTGAAAAAAAAATTCGGGTTGTTCTGAAAGTAACGCTTTTTTGTTTGTTTCAAAATGTAGCAACAAAACGTTATGAAAAAGGGCCAGAAATAAGCTAAATAATGGGAAGAAAAGTGGAATAAGGGTCTGGAAAGATAGCAGAAGGCGGAGTTGAGAGAAAGAGAGAGTCAAAATCATAGATCTGAATTACTGCTTTGCTTTTTGTGTGTTCTACAATCTTAGCTATCGAGTCAGTCCATAAAGGTTTGCCAATTTTTGTGTTTTACTCCAACAGATTATAAATTTACTTTTTTCGAAAATTGATTATCAAGTAAGAAAAAAAGAGAATCGATATTGAAATCTAACGTGTTAACAGCTTCGGCGTTTTGCCAGCTATAGTTTTTCTCATTAAGGGATGACTTAAAAAGTGGTAATTGGTGGAAGGTCGTTGCGGAAAGAGGGTTGGACATAGTGAATCTTTATGTGAACCTATGCAAATTCTTTTTTTTGTTATTTGGCATATACAATTTGCTTTTGTCATTGTGTAAGAAAAACACACTCAGAAATTTCATTTGGATTACCGTAGAAATATTCCACCAAAGCATCATAGTCGAATTAGGCCACTGGACATCTGATTTTTCTATTCGACTTAGAGTCTGCTTATTGTTCTTCCTTCTTCAGTTAATATATAACAATTATTTTTAATAGGTGAAGAACAGTTTAAGATTTATACTTTGGTAGATACAATTCGTTTGTTGCTGTTCGGTAAGCTCATTGGGTAGTGCCTATTTTAGCCCTTTCTTTGTTTCATATCGCGCAAATGCTGACCGGCTGTTCGCTGTGAAGCTTAGTTCTTGAGATGATGCTGCCAGTAACTTCTTTTTGAAGATTAGCCTCAACAACTACTCTTAAGTTATCACGATATTCTGTTACAAACTTTTTTGCTTTCTGCTGAATTACTCAGTTCACAAACTTGGCAAACTGTAGCTGCATATTCTACTCTTTTATAGAGGACCGAGTTTTCAAGTACTCAGTTAACCAGTTAGCTTATTGCGGCAGCACTATCTTCTTTTAACCGCGAATTCAGAAAAAAAGCTAAACAAGCCGAAGTCTTGCAATTTAATTTTAGAAGACTTGAAAAAGTAAAGAAGTAAAAAATAGGATTAAATTGTAGTTAGAAATGTAGAGCAGACAACAGGCCTTTGATAATGTAACACAGGTCACTACTCTTTGAATGTTTTCCCAAATCAGAAAAGTCTAAAAGTCAAAAGTTGCAAATTGACAAACCTTTGCGGACCAACCTAAATAAATTGACAGCTTTTTTCTTGCCTTTTTTTTATATTTCTCTTTTTTTCTCTATAATTTATTTATAATTTTATTGCTCTATTCAATAAATACATTCTAAATATAGCAGTAATGTTTGATTCCTTTTAGGAGTTTCGAAAGGTAAGTTAATTGGCTGACCTGACTGGTAAACAGTTGAGGATTGCTTGAGTAGTTGCTCGTTACCAAGAAAAAAAAGCCAAAAATTATTTTTTAATATCATTAGTAGCTAAAGACAAAAAAATTTGTAATTTATGTTTTACGTTAAATTATTCAAACATATAATTTTTGGCGTTTTTTTTTTTCGTTGAGTATATTGTGATGCAACGTTCTGCACTGTAGGTGTTCTCCCGTCTTTTTTATTTCAATTTTTTTTTGATCTATACGTAACATTTTTCGTTGTTTTTTTTTTAATAGTAGTGAACTAAACTAAGGCTAACCGACTAATCACTTTAGTTTGGACTGGGTATTTAGTGGTTATTTTCTTTTTGAACAAGTTGCATATAGTTGTCGTTACTGATT